GTGGAGGCCGCAAACGCCCAGTCCCCAAGGGTGCGACCTATGGCAAGCCTGTCCATCATGGCGTTAACCAGCTCAAGTTTGCTCGGAGCCTCCAGTCTGTTGCAGAGGTAAGTGGTTTTGAGTACCAGTTAGTGGACTGCCTTTTGGGGGAGGGTGGGAAAGAAGGATTTGAGCAGCTTCTCATTGTACATAGGTATGCCTTATTGTCTGCAAAATGGGGTTAAAGTCTTATACTTGGTCATTGTTACTAAAACGTTCCGTGGTTGGTGTGAACTTGTGGAACCTAAGTTCCTGAAGGGCAGTGATTTTGTCTTAGATCACATTTCCCTGCTACGTTTGCTTTTCATCTCCCTCCCTCCTTTCCTTGTTTTTTTTTAATTTGCCGGAGAAGAGACAGAAAGGGAAAGCGAGTCACCAGGTCTAGGACTCAAACCATAGTCAGTCATGTGGGAGTCTAGTACCTTTAACCACCACACCAACTGCCAGCCCCCCATTTATTTTCCTGATTTTCTGTAGTCAAAAGATTTTTGTGAGTTGTGCTTTGATGTGAGGGTGGGCAAATAGGGTGCAACTTCTTCCCTGAGCTAAAATTTGTTTTTTAAATACAGCAAAGAATCTATAGAAGAGACCAAATATGGCCTGTAAAGTCTAAAATATATACTAAATACTTTTAAAACTTATAAAAGGTTTGCTAATGATTCAGTTATATGAGAAAAAGACAGGATTTTGAAGTTTTAACTTTTAGATGTTAACATTGATGCCTTTGTCAGGCAGGAGATAATAAGAAAATGATTAGATTTCAACCTAAACCTGTTACTTTACCAAATCTACCTTATCCCATATCATGTTGGCCTTCACTAGATACTTAGTAAATATTTGCATAGTTAAGGGGACAAACCATCTCTTTGTTTAGTGCTGAACTTGAATTCAGAAAACTACTTCTACTTTGCTCCTGTAGGCAACGGTAGGAGGCTGACGTGGAACCTTTTTTTCCTCTCTAGGAGCGAGCTGGACGCCACTGTGGGGCTCTCAGAGTCCTGAATTCTTACTGGGTGGGTGAAGATTCCACATACAAATTCTTCGAGGTTATCCTCATTGATCCATTCCATAAAGCTATCAGAAGAAACCCTGACACCCAGTGGATTACCAAGCCAGTCCACAAGCACAGGGAGATGCGTGGGCTGACATCCGCAGGCCGCAAGAGCCGAGGCCTTGGAAAGGGCCACAAGTTCCACCACACTATTGGTGGCTCTCGCCGTGCAGCTTGGAGAAGGCGCAATACTCTCCAGCTCCACCGTTACCGCTAATCTAAGAAATGTTTGTAAACTTCATACCTAATAAACAATTTAGGACAGTCATGTCTGCTTAAAAGTGTTATTTGTCTGTTAAGCTAGTCTGCAGATTGTTTCATGGATGCTTTGTCAGATTACGAAAGTTCCAAGTGCAATAATGTTTGAAGATTATAAATGATAGTGTATCTTGTTTCTAATAAGGTAAACTTTTCTGTGTGCTTTATCTTATTAGGGAGTTATATGTTGGTGTTTAAAACATGTGGTATAATAGGTGTAAAAATAAATACTTTAAAACAGGAGTTCAGAAACTAGCCCTGTAGATTTGTTTTGTGCATGTGGTGAGACCTACAGCTTTATGGGGTGGTGGCAATGCTCTCCTTAACTTTCAATTGGCTAGATTTTTGGATTTAACATGGAAATTAGTAGAGTTGGAGGAAGATATCCTAACCCCATGTCATGGTTGTGTAGAAAATTAATGGGCTCCGCCTGAGCCTGCATTTTTTGATTTAATCCAGCGTTCCATTTGTGTAGCTTGGATCTGGAAGGAGAAGGGTTTCCCCAAGCGCCACCATTTTCAGAAGAAGAAACCTATTGCAAGAGGCTTCTCCTACCAATGAAACCCGGTCTGAATTAACCTAACAAAATTGCCTCCGTCTTCAGAGTATTTACAAGGTAAAAGCTGGTGTGTTCCTCTGGCTCCCTGGGATCTGGAATCCTGGTTTTATGTGGAGTAGTCAATAGTATTTACACTGGTTTATTTGTAGCTGGCAGAAACTGAACACTAGGCGAGGTTCCACGTACTGAGGCTGGAACAAAACGGAATACTTGTAACACTAATTCATGACGGTTACAAGGCCTCAGGCTCAGTAGGGGAAAGAGAGATTGTCTAAAGGCACATTGCAGCACAGCCTGAGTCTTCGGATCATCTCCGATCAACCCACTTGACTGCCGCCATAAGGCTACTTTTGAAAAAAGTCACAGTTGATGTTTTGTCTGCCGTTACTTTCTCATCCCTGGTCATTACCCTCAAAATTCTGACCATTCTACAGAACTGAGCAGTCTGTTCTGTGCCCACCTTGACTTAAAATGCCATTGAGTCGTGCTGCGTTTCTTGGCTTCACGTCCAGTACAGTATGCTGCTGTTCCCCAGGGTCAATTTGAAGGAGAAGGAAATACAGAATTGCCCTAATTCTTTTCAAGTTATGGCAAATAATAATTTTAATTCTAAATCTAACTGCTGGTTTTCCAGAACAAACTTTTCCAATTTTCTCTATGGTTTTTAAAAGGCTCCGTTAATTGCCAGAAAACATTCATATTAGGTTCATAAAAGCTTTTGAGTCCTAGATTCCTTTTTACTCAAAAATTCTTAAACCATACATTTGATTGTGTAGAGGTGGTTCAACTAAAGGAATAAATGTCTTTTAAACAAATGGACCTTCTGTTATCTTTTGTCATTCTAATGCTACTGTGCTTACAGCAAAACAAATATTACAACCCTGCAAAAACAAACGGAAAACATAATGGGAGGGAAGATGTAGGCTTTTAGGATTCCCTTGGTTCTTCGGTCATTGCATGAACTAGAAAAACCTAGACTTTTATCTGAAACTGTTTTGGGTGTTCATTGGGAAGAGCAGGGTTCTAGCCAAAGGTTTGTGTCATCTGCATCACCTGCAAAAAGGACCTCCAGTCTTGGTGCGCCCAGTTATTTTATATCCATATGGCAGCCAGAGGGATCTTAAATAGATCAGGACCTTCCTGTGCTAGAAAGCAAAGTCCTTAGCTTTTGTGATCTTCCCATTTTATGTGTGACCTCACGTCCTACTGTCTTTGGTCTCATCCCAGTCTCCCTGTTACTGCAAATACACTACTAATTTACCATGGGAAAAACATACATGGTATGTGTCACTTTTTAGGTCTTTCCCGACTGCCCCACGAACCTTTCCCATTTGCCGTAACATTTCTGTATTGGCATTTAATTCAAACTGCAAAACTGATTACCTGAATTTTCTTTTAAAATATCAATGGGGGGACCAGCAGATAGCATATTGGCTATGTTGCTAGTCTCCCATGTAGTTGACCGTGGTGGTTCAAGTCCCGGACCTGGTGGCTTAAACTCAGGCCGGGCACGTGTGTGTGTCCAAGATCCTGAGAGGAGAATGGAGGAGTAGGGATTACAGTGTGGCCATACCCCCTGGGGGATGATTTTTCACTTTCTGCCTCTGTCCCTCTCTGGTAAGTTTATGCGCCCAGTAGCAAAAACCTCTCAAAATATCAATAGGGGGCCGGCAGGTGGCATGGTGGTTAGAGCTGGATTTCCACATGACTGACCATGGTTTAGGTCCCAGACTAGTGGCTTGAGAATCACACTGCTGCGTGCGCAATGCATACCCAAATTCCCAAGAGGAAAATGAAGAGATTGCAGAGTGGCTATCTTCCCTGGAGGTTTATTTCTTCCCTATATGTGCCCTATTTTAAAACGTAAAATTTTAAAAATGGGCTTTTCACAAGCTCACAAAGTGTAGTACTGCAATATTTCTAACTGACAGGAAAGATAAACCATTTCAAGGTCACACAAATACTGGCAGTCTCTGGTATGTGAGGGTGGGCAAGTGTGCACTCTAGCTGCCAGGGCCAAGACTCAAACTACGGTTGACCGTGTGGGATCTCATCCCTCAGCCACTACGCCCTGCTTGGTAATAGCAGTCTGAATTAAAACCCTATAAGCTTAGGACTGACAGGTGGCATGGTAGTTAAGGTGCTGGATTCCCACATGGTTGACCACAGTTCAATTCCCAGACCTGACAGCTTGCTTTCTCACTTTCTCTACTGTGTTTTTCTCCCCCCGCCTTTTTTTTAAGAGAGATTTTTGCTATAGGGCACGTGCACTCTCCAGAGATACAGAAAGCAAGAAATCACCCCCCCTCGGGGGTTGGGGGGGATGGCCATGCCACAGTCCCTTCTCCATTCTCTCAGGATTTGGAGCACACATGCACATACACCCAGTGTGTTTTAAGCTGCTGGGTCCAGGACTCAAACTACGGTCAACTAAGCGGGAGTCCAGTAATGTAACCAATTTTGCCATTTGCTGGTCCCAGGGGTGCCTATCTTTCTATCTCTTTCATTATCATCATGCCTGAGAGGTGGGTTCTCACTAAGCATTCTCTAGCTAGCACTTCTGCTGTTTTTGTGAGAGACAGAGAGATAGGCGCTCCTCACAGTCTCACCATGTCATGGCCTTCCCACTCCAGCCTCCCAGCCAGCCAGGATCCTTGCACGCCTGTCACAGGTTGGTTTGGAATATGAGTCTAGCATTTTGTACCACTGTAGCCAGGCCTCTGCTCATAACTTTTTTTTTTTTTTTTAGAATTATTTATCTGTTCACTCTTTGTTTTTTTTTTTTTTTTTTTTTAATTTGACCAGAGACAGAGGGAAAGTGAGAAAGCAAGCCACCATGTCCAGAACTTGAACCATGGTCGGCCATGTGAGAGTGTCCAGCCCCTTAACCACCATGCCACCTACTGGTCCCCATAAAATTCTTAAAGTTGACTTTATGCGTAATAAGTTCTTCAATATTAATTTGCCAGAAGGTGTTGCCCTTTGCAGAAAAAAGAAATAGCATCTCTCTGAGGCATGGTCATGCCTCAATCCCTTCTCTATTTCTCCCTCCTGGTGGGATCTGGGGCATGCGCCAGGCTGTGCTTGGGTTCCATGGTGGGAGGTGAGATCTTCCCGAGTGCCCGGACGGAGAGAGAACGTACTACTTGTGAGCAGCTCTAGTGGCCACCATAGACACGAGACCACTGAAGTGTCCTTTGATCTCCGTACACACATGACATCTGTGGAGCACAGCTGGTGTGTCACAGGGAGAGCAGGAACCGGTGCAGTCTACACTGGCAGAAGTCTCTTACCACTGATTTTGCTTAGAATGCCAGAATAGAATGATAATAAAAACCAATATACTTTAACTCAGTTCTTGTTTTTAAATTCTCTACAGACAAGGCAACCCCTTAGCAAGTTAATTCATTTGGCAAAATATGGTTATCTGCACCAAATTCAGGAACCAATTTATCTGCCGGTTTATGATGTGACATGACTTCTTTCCTGTGAACCATACAGTCACTAGAAAGTACTTCAGACGCATACTGTTCAATATTATAGCCATTAGCCACCTATGACTATTTCAGTTTAAACTAAATTGGATTAAAAAGTTACTTTTGGGGCCAGCAAGTGGTGGGTGTGGTGGTTAAGGGCACTGGACTCCCACATGACCGACCACAGTTTGAGTTCTGGACCTAGCAGCTTGCTTTCTCACTTTCTCTCTCTCTCTTCCCCATGCCCTATCTCTGGTCAAATTAAAAATAAATAAAGTTAAATAAAATAATTCTTTAAAAAAAAAGCGTTATACTTGGCCTGTACCTATAAACTTTATAATTAAAGCATTCAAACTTAATGAAATAGCTGGAATACATGCTTTGCAGCTTACTCTCAAATCCTGGAAAAAAAGCAACCCACTCTTCCAAAATTGATTAAATCATTTAATTTAATTGGCATGCTATGAATATCTGAACTCATTTGTGTGCAATTCTCATTGTCATTTAGAGAGGTTCTTCATTATTTGGCAGCTCTAGTCAGTTCGGAAACAATAATGGAGGGTAATGTAATTATCAGCCATCTAATCACTAAGCTTCTTCCCACAGTGTAAACATGTCATTGAGGTTCGAGAGGCTGATTATTAACTAAGCTAGAAGTAGTTTCACTTCTCTGAAGAAGAAATTCAAACCGTGATCACCACATGACAGAATTCGGTCTGGGGCCCGCTGGTGGTGTGATGGTTAAGGCAGCTGGATCTACATGACTGACTGTAAGCTTTGAGTCCCAAACGCAGTGGCTTGAAAAAACACATCAGGCATGTGTGTGCATGCCCAAAATCCATGAGAGGAAAATGGAGGAGGAGGGATTGAAGTACGGCCATCCTCCCTGGGGAGTGATTTCTTGCTTTCTATTTCTTTGGTGAGCACACGTGCCCAATAGCAAAAATCTCTGGAGAAAAAAAAAAAATCTGGGCCCAGGGTGTGTACGCGTGTGCATGTGTGTGCCCAAATTCCCGACAGGATGGGAGAATGTAGGAAAAAGAATCATGGCAAGACCATGCCCCACCGCTATGAGTGCAGGTACCCTCTGACAATAATAACAATTTGATCTTCCAGCTGCACCAGGAATAGCTCTTTTTCAGTACACCACAGGTATGGACTGTCAATTTATATATCACTGATATTAGTGGTCTCATCTGAATGCCATTAGTACCATTAGTCCCTAATAATTTTTTGCTTTTAATTTGTTATAGGGTATGTGCTTGCTGGAGAGAGAGGGAAGTGAGAAAACACCCACCCCAGGTAGATGACCACACCACAATCCCTTCTCCGTTCTCTTGTTCAGATCTGGGTATGCATGCACACACACCCACCATACTTTTTTTCAAACTGCTGGGTCTGGGACTTGAACCCTGCGGTCAGTCATGTGGAATCCAGCTACCTTCACCACTATGCCACCAAGCTGTCCTCTCATTCTTTTTTTTTTTTTTTAAAGTATATGCTAGAGGGTGCATGTACTCTAGAGAGGGACGGAGAGAGAGAGATTAGGTGCATGTACTCTAGAGAGGGACGGAGAGAGAGAGATTAGGTGCATGTACTCTAGAGAGGGACGGAGAGAGAGAGATTAGGTGCATGTACTCTAGAGAGGGACGGAGAGAGAGAGATTAGGTGCATGTACTCTAGAGAGGGACGGAGAGAGAGAGATTAGGTGCATGTACTCTAGAGAGGGACGGAGAGAGAGAGATTAGGTTATCGGGAAAGTCCTGAAGCATTTTTGCATAGGAAAACTTAAAGATATGTCATGACTTTCCTGATACCTTAGTAGAAAGATGGGGGGTAGAGAAAGCACCCTCTTCCATGGGTCGTGGTCACTCTTGCAAGCTCTTCTCCATTTCTCCATCCAGTCAGGATTTGGAGCACACATGCATTGGGCCTAGCATGATTATCAAGTTGCTGGGGTCAGGACTCAAACCACAGTAGGCCATGTAGGATCCAGCTTCCTCAACCACTAGGCTATGGGGCTAGTCCCCTAATAGTTCCTTAATGAACTAATATTAAGTCTCTATAATAAATATGTATGATGTGCTTTATTCTGATGTATGTCATATTTGACTTGCATAGAAAAATGAATCCTGTTGCATCTTCAACATGATCTAGAAAAAAATGTTTGTACTAATATTTTCCCCTGGAAAAGCTGTGATTTGAGATGATGCCTGCCCTACAGGAAACAGATTCCAAGTCAAGTACTTGGGCACTTACGGTTGTTCACCCAAGTGCTTTCAGGGAAACTTAGAAGGTAGTTGTTGATGAGCTGGCAGAGGGTGTGGTGGTTAAGGGCGCTGGACTCCCACATGGTGGACCGGTTAGAGTCCCAGACCTGGAGGCTTGCTTTTTCACTTTCTCTCTCTCACTCTGTCCCTCTCTGGTCAAATTAAAATAACTAACTAACTAAATATATAAAAAGTTAAATAAAATAATTCTTTAAAAAAAAAAAAGGTAGTTGGCAGCGTGGTAGTTAAGGGTGCTGGACTTCAACATGGCCGACCACAGTTTGAATCCCAGACCTCGGGGCTTGCTTTCTCACTTTCTCTGTCTCTCTGTCTTTCTCTCTGTCCCTCTCTGGTCAAATTTAAATAAATAAAGTTAAAACGATAATTTGTTTTTAAAAAAGGCAGTTGGGAAGTTGAACGGGAAAGAGAAGCCAAGTCAGACGGTGCTTTCAAAGTCCTGGCGGCTGTCTCAGCCTGATCTTGCAGAGGAACTCGGAGCTGTTAGTTACTCCTCATAGTCTGTGCCAATTCTCGGCAAGGTAGCCGGGTGTTTACACTCTCACACCGGCCGGTCGTGCATAGGCTAGGTGTGGCCATGGGAGGCTATAAACTCCCAGGGACCTTGTTTCCTAGTGGCCAAGTGGCTCCAGTAGCTCGAGGGCATTCCGCCCAGGAAAGTGTCAGGTACTGGCCATCAGCCATCGAAGCAAAAGGCCCCAGAAGCTGAGGGCAGTGGACAGGCAGCGAAAGGGTCCAGAGGGCTCCGACTGAGCAGTGTCTGTCCCACCAAATCAGTAATCTAATTACCTTCGTCCTAGAAAAGGCTTCTGAAAGTGTTTTCATGAACAGGCATTTTTTTGGCCACCCTTCCTTGTATGGTCATACGTTGCTTAATATTCTGAGAATCTGCGTCATTTGGTGATTTTCCTTGTGGGATGAACATCACAGAGTGTACTTTCACAAATAAACTTGGAGGGGGTAGCCTATACACAGACCCCTAGGCTACATAGTCTGCCTACTTGTTTTTTTTTTGAGAGGTTTTTGCTATAGGGCTCATGTACACCCCAGAAACACAGAGACAGAGAGACAGAAAGGGAGAAATCACCCCCAGGGAGGATGGCCACTCTGTAATCCCTTCTCCTCCATTATCCCTACAAGATTTTGGGCACGCACGCACACGCAAAAGCGTGAGTTTAAGCCACTGGGTCCAGGACTCCAACCGCAGTCAACTACATGGGAGTCCAGTGACATAGCCATTACACCAACTGTTGGTCCCTAGTCTGCCTGCTTGTAATCTCATGGGACCACCATTACTTATATGGTCTGTGCATGACCAAAACATTGTGTGGTGTGTGACTGGGTAATAAAGCCAGGGAACAAATGTCGCCTCATCTAGACTTGGATGTTTCAGAATTATTCTTAAAATTAAGCAGTTTTGGAACCAGCAGGTGGTGTGGTGGTTAAGGACGCTGGACTTCCACATGGCCAACTGTAGTTCAAGTCCCGGACCTGGTGGCTTCCTTTCTTATTTTCCCTCTCCTGCTCTCTCTCCCTCTTTTGCTCTGTCCCTCTCTTGTCAAATTAAAATAAATAAATATATACATAAACAAAGTTAAATAATTCTTTTAAAAAACCTTAGTTTTCAGAAAACAGTTAAGTTTGGTGTTTTGAAATATATTTGTGCCCCTAGGAATTATTCAATTACATGTGTTCTTCCTCGTACTCAATGATTTTCTTTTTCTTTTTTTCAAATTTATTGGAGTTTATTAATTAAGCCAGCGGCATGTGGGGGATTAATGTCTCTCAAAACCACATAGCCTGAGTGCAAGATGAGAAGCATTGTATGTCCCCACTTAATATATACCGAGTGTCCACACTCTATGACTGAAACTAATTGACTAAAGGATACAGAAACACAGTGTAAAGATGTAAATACCAGATATAGTGTGTGTGAAAGAGGAGGGTCTGAGGAAGGACATTTAGAAGAAAAATAGGGAGGCAAAGCATTAATGGCACAAAGAAATGTGGTATTGTCTATTGAAGATATTTTGTAGTTTTATCAACTGGACTAGGGAGAAATGTTCACCGGTTGAAATGTCCATTTTGTTAGCCAAATAATAATGTGATTGAATGTATAAAAGAAAAGGAAATGGAAAAAAAAAAAAAAAGATACAATCTTCAGTCACTGGACCGCGCCTGGAGCCCTGGAGCCCTGGAGACCATGGAGATGCCATTGTGGTTAGGCAGGGACAGAATATACCCTTAAGAATGATTAACCTGCTTACCTGCGTCTTCTGCCTCTGTGATGTGCTTTTGCTTTCTTTTCCGCTGTAAAACCCTACCCTCTACCTTTTGAAGCCAACTGCTCTTTGTTTTTGAGAGTGACTGCCATGTCAACTCTCAGAAGAGTGTGATTTTTGCCCCAAAGGAGAGTGCAAGAGAAGGGATTTCAGCGTGGGGTGATATCTCACTTTCCGTCTCTGTCTCTCCAGTGAGCACATGCTCCCTATAGCAAAAATCTCTCTCAAAAAAAAAAAAAAAAAGAAAAGAAAGAAAGAAAAAAAAAAAAAGAAAAGAAAAAGAAAAACCCAGAAAGAAATGTGGTAAGATTTATGTGTGTGTTTGTAATTCGCTTCTTGCTTTCTTTTATATATATGCAGGAACTTTCTTTTTTCACGAAGAAAAGCTAAGTATCATTTCACCTTTCCTCGCCTCTAAACAAACCACTCCAATAAACCAAAACCAAACACCCAAAGTAATGGTATCCTTCTGTTTCGTTATGGCTATGAAGTAAGAAAGCACACATTTCAGGCAGCTGCAGGCCACGCTAGTGTGGTGACACGTCTGGTGACACGTCTCCTGTGACGCAGGGAGTTGGAATGACGAAGCTGACTTCTCAGTTATTTGAATGATGTCACTCTGTTGCAGTTCCTCTAGCTATTTTGCTGTTGTGCTGCAAAAAAATTCAAGTCCCAGCTTGAACCTTTTTTTGTGCCAAGGTCAGCTCTGTGGATTGCCTCATTATACAGAGCCTGCAGGGGTGGCGCTCCTAGGCACGCAGCCAGGACGTGGGTCAGCAGGACCTCTGTCAGCCCAAGTTAAAAAGCAAAGGAGAGGGATCTGGTTGACCTGCAAGGAGCAATTTGCAAGAACGAATGCTGACCACTACGGTGAGTATTCACGCTCGCCCACCTTCCTAGGGGAATAACACCTTTTTCAGAGATACTTATTTCCTTGTTTTAAAATGAAAGCAATTGGGACCAGCAGATGGCGTAATGGCTGTGCTGCTGGACACACCCTATAGTTTTTGGTGAAGTTTTTGCTATAGGGCACGTGTGCTCACCAGAAAGACAGAGACAGAGACAGAAAGCGAGAAGTCACCCTCAGGCCCGATGGCCATGCTGCAATCCCTTCTCCTCCATTCTCCTCTCGGGATCTTGGGCATGCACACACACCCAGTGTGAGTTTAAGCCACAGGGTCCGGGCCTCGAACCGTGGTCGACTATATGGGAGTCCAGTGAGATAGGCATTACACCAACTGCTGGTCCCAGTATGTTTTTTAAATCAATGGGAGACTTAAAAAAAGTCACCTTGGTTTTCCAGAGCATTTGATATTTTCTCATCACTCAGTGAGGCATCTCAGCCAGATGGTCTCTGGTGCAAACTGTTTTGGATCTGTATGAGCACTGTGCAGTTTGTACACCTTGCATGGAGACTGATGCTTTTTCCCACTAGATCCTTTTTTTTTTAAAGAATAATTTTATTTAACTTTATTTATTTATTTTAAATTTGACCAGAGAGGGACAGAGTGAGAGACAGAGAGAGAGAGAGACAGAGACAGACAGAGAGAGAGAGAGGGAAAGTGAGAAAGTAAGTCGCCAGGTCCGGGACTCAAACCTCAGTCGCCATGTGGGAGTCCAGTGCCCCCAACCACCATGTCACCTGCCAGCCCCTCTACTAGATTCTTAAAGCCATAGGATATTATTGAGATCGGGGCCGGCAGGTGGCATGGTGGTTAAGGGCACTAGACTGCCACATGGCTGACCACAGTTCGAGTTCTTAGGACACCCACGTTTAGAAATGCACAGCCAAGTGCTCCCCAGATTCCTGACCTGCAGAAATCACCAGATAGAAGAAAATGATTACAGTTATTCTGAGCCACTAAGTTATGGAGTGATTCCTTATGCTGCAACAGTAACTGGAATATTCACTAAAATGCTGGAAATCAGTTAATTCTTTTTTATTTTTATTTTCAAAATTTTGCCAGAGGGCACCTGTGCTCACCAGAGACAGTCACGGAGAGGGAGAAAGAGAGCAAGCACCCTACTGATGGGTCTTGGTCACACCACAGTCCCTTCTCTATTTCCCCATTGTGTCAGGACATCCAGCACGCACACACACACACACACACACACACACACACACACACACACATCTGGCATCTTTTTCATGCTGCTGGGTTTAGTACTCAAACCATGTGGTCAGTCAAATGGGATCTGTTCCCTTAACCACCAGGCAATGGGCCGGCTTAAGTTAAACCAATTCCATCAGTGAGATTCCTTATGGACAAACAAGAGAAATGGAGTCTGGCTAACTGAGGCAAATATATGAGAGAAATTTCTTAGTCCTCTATTGTGTTACTAATAGAAATACCTGAGACTGAATGACTTATAAAGAAATAGAGGTTTAGCAGGGACCAGCAGTTAGCGTAATGGCTACGTCGCTGGACTCCCACGTAGTCCCGCAGTTCCCATCCCGGACCCGGTGGCTTAAAACTCATGCCAGGCGCGTGTGCTTGCGTGCCCAAGATCCTAGGAGGAGAACGGAGGAGAAGGGATTGCAGCGTGGCCATCTCCCCTGGGGGGTGATTACTGTCTCTCTTTCTCTCTCTGTGTTTCTGGTGAGCACACGCGCCCTATAGCAAAAACCTCTCCCAAAAAGAAAAAATTTAAAAAAAAAGAAAAAAAATATAAGAAAATATAAACAACTTTATTTCAATAAATTTGAAATTTTATACAACATGGAACAATCCTAAAACAAATAACTTACCAAGTGACTCAGGAAGAATAAGACTAATGACCAATGCGGCTGCCTTAGTCACATGTGAATTTTGACTCTTGAAACATGGCTAATACACTGAGGGACAACATTTCGCCTTTTATTTAATTTTAACTAATTTATATTTTAATTTGAAAACTTGGACCAGAAGAAAATATTTGTCTACTATACATCATTTGACTGTTTTGATAGGATTATATTTCACTTTTTCTGGTGGGGTGGGGGAGAAATCCAGAAAAAGTGAGAATGCACTCCCCGGGGTGGATGGTCATGCCATGTTGCTTTTCCTCATTCTCCTCTCGGGGTTTTGGGCACATGTGCACACATGCCTGATATTTTTTTAGTCTGCTTTAGGGCACATGCGTTCACTTTGCTGGAGACAGAGAGAGAGAGGAAGAGGGCGGGGGAAGAGAGAGAGAGATAGAGAGAGAGAAAGTGGGAAAGTACCCTCCAAGAGGGATGGCCACAATCCCTTCTCCTCTCTCCTCCTCTCGGGATTCCAGACACACTCGCACACGCACCCCGTGTAGTTTTCAAGCTGCTGGGTTGCTGGGTCTGGGACGGCTCAGTCGGCCCTGTGAGGTCACGCCACTGGCTGGGCCCTCTTTGATTATTCTTTTTAATTCCAGACGGTATATGTGCTTGTCAGAGAGAGAGGCAGAGAATGGGAGAGGGAGACAGCAGCTCCTGGAAGGATTGGTCACGCTGGAAGTCCTTCTCCTCTATTCCTCCATTCTGTCGGGGTTTGGACATACACACAGCTACACCCAGTATGTTTTCCAAGCTGCTGGAGCCGGGACTTGAACCAGGTGGTAGGCCAGCAGGGACCTAGCTCCCTCAGCGAGTAGGCCATGAGGCTGACCCGGGACATTTCACTTTAACTGTCGCTTTTCAGGACATATTATTATTGCACTGTGCTGTGTGTGTGTGTGTGTGTGTGTGTGTGTGTGTGTGTGTGGTATGAGTTCATTGTTTACACTTTTGCCCAAAAACACATCAGTGATCTTGTTGCCATCAATGGATTGAATACATTTTTTCACAGATGTAATACTGGAATGTGTTTATTTGAATAGTTTATGAAGACATAAAATGAGAAGACATGATTTGCATAATAATGTCTATGTAAATCAAAATTGGTAATGAAGTCGAAATGCTTATTATTTTGTTAAAACATAATTACATCATTTTTTGAGTTAAAAAACAAATACAGACCAAATTTTGAATTTAAAATAAGGGCATAATTCCGGGGTAGGATTAAGGAAAGACAGAAGCTAGCGGCATGGCTGCAGCAGTGAAGGAAAAGCCTAGAAGAAAGCAGTCGCGAGTTTCTTGACGAATGGCAGTTACAGTTCGCGGCGGCAGGGAACTGCCAAAGCTGTTTGTTGACATGCTGCGACATCACTGCTCTGAGACATATGTGCTGTGAACGTCTGTGTTTTAAACATTCCTGTGTTCATTCCTAATATGTGAATATTGATAAACGTAGCCTGCAGAAAACACTTCGGTGCCTGGCTCGTGGCCTCACGGTTAAGAGAGCAGGATCTCGGGGCAGGTGATGTGGTGGTTAGAGCGCTGGACTCCCACATGGCTAGCTGTGGTTTGAGTCCCAGACCTGGCAGTTTGCTTTCTCACTTTCTCTCTCCTCCTCTCTCTCTTTCTCACTCTGGTCAAATTAAAATTAATAAGGAGCTGGCAGGTGGTGTGGTGGTTAATGGGGCTGGACTCCCACATGGCTGACTGTGGTTCAAGTCCTAGACCTGGCAGCTTATTTTCTATCTCTCTCTCGCTCTGTCCCTCTCTGGTCAAATTGAAATAAATAAATGAGTGGAGAAATAAAGTTAAATGAAATAATTATTTAAGAAATAAAATTGGGGTCAGCAGGTGGCGTGGTGGTTAAGGCGTTGGATACTCCCACAAGGGCTACTGTGGTTCAAGTCCTGGACCTGGTGGCTTGCTTTTTAACTCTCCCTCTCTCACTATACATATATATATAATTAGTGAAAAATAATTCTAAAAAAAGTCAGTGATGTCATCTGTCAATTAAAAACAAGAGAGAGTGAGGAAGCTGGATCTCACGTGGTTAACCCTGCGGCTCAGTTCCTGGCCTGGTGTCTTGAAAACATGCCAGGTGCATGTGCAAGTGTGACCAAAATACCCACAGGATGGAGACATGGAGCAGAAGGGATTGCCATGCGGGAGTGCTTTCTCTCCCTCCCTCTCTGTGTCTCTCACTAGTGAGTGCATGCACTCTCTGACACACACACAAAAGAAAAGCACTTATTAAGAACATAGAGAAGTTCTGAGATTTTTCTTTTAAAGAATTATTTATTTAATTTTATTTATTCATTCGCTTTTTTTTTTTTTTTGGGGGGGTTTTGGCTATAGGGCGCGTGCGCTTGCCAGACAGACAGAGAGAGACATAGAGACAGAAAGCGAGAAATCACCCCCCAGGGGGGATGGCCACGCCGCAATCCCTTCTCCTCCATTCTCCTCTCAGGGTCTTGGGCACGCACGCACATGCGCGCGGCGTGAGTTTAAGCCACCGGGTCCGGGACCCGAACCGTGGTCGACTATGTGGGAGCCCAGCGACATAGCCATTACGCTAACTGCTTGTCCCGTCATTCGCTTATTTTAATTTGACCAGAGAGAGGGAGAGAAAGAGAGAGAGGGTGGGGGGGGAGAGAGGGAGAGAGAGAGAGAGAGAGAGAGAGAGAGAGAGAGAGAGAGAAAGTGTGAAAGCAAGCCACCAGATCTGGGACTCGAACTGTGGTTGGCCATGTAGGAATGTCCAGTGCCTTTACCACCATGCCACCTGCTGGTCCCCAGAAGTTCTGCCATTAAAACGCTCAAGAAACACTGATCTAGGGTATAGAAAAGACAATGTTTAAGTGCAATGTTGTGGTGTTAGAAACTGGCAAATTCCTTGGAATCTTTTATTTTTTTTTTTAAGAGGGGCTCTCACCATGTCCCCAGCCTCCTGAGTAGCTGGGAGTATGGGCACACGTGATTGTGTCTGGCTTTTAGGGTTGCTGGCAATTGAACCTGGGCCTCCCGTGTGGTCTTGGCTTGCTCACCAGCAGTGTCACCCTGGTTCTACTGTGACTTGGTTTAG